AGATAGCTAAGAGTCAGCTCTATCTACCTGCATAATACTAATTTTCTCCGGTGAAAGATGACTTAATTATGCTCAAAATATCTGAAAAGTTTTAGGCGATTATCAGAATTACCCCATGTGACTCTACAAAACGACTGGATATAGACATCAGTTTCTACTAGAAGCAAATGTTAACATTCTCTTTGTAAAGCTATGACTTTTTTTTAAAGAGCACAGATCAATTAGTAGATGATTTTCTTACCTGTATGTGTTCTTGTATGCCTACTTAACAACGATGGTCTATCGAACATTTTTCCGCAAACATCACACGACCATGTTTTCCGTTTTCGACGGTAAACAATATTTTCTAACGTTTGATTCTGCTATAAAATGGAAGTAACATACACTATTTATAATTAAAAACGAATCTTGTTTAAAAAAAATACTTGCATTCGAATTTGTTGTATCATTTGATAATAGTCTATCGATCATAAATGCTGCTGATTTTGACGACACTTGTACACTACTGTTCTCAACTGTTCGTGTTGCCATATTCTAAAAAGGATTTTACAAATCTTCATTGGTGTGCTGCCAGCAGAACAAATGCCCATTCTGGAAAAAAATATCAGGGACAATAAGCAGTTATTGCCCCATAAAGAATTATATTTTCGCTGCAGTGTATTTTCTTAAAATCCAAGTAAAAAAAAACTTAAAATTTGGTTACACAGCTTAAGTAGCGGGGAAAAACTGTTGATCAAAAATTAGCCTAAAAACATCAATATCGGTGAGAAACTTAATTTTTCACAAAACTGAACAAAGTGGTAGATAAACCCAATATATTATCTGAATCTGTCCATCGTACGCTATCTATTAGTGAAAATATTTCTTAATTTGAACTTCTGACTTTTGAAAAAATAAAAGTTTTTTTACAGTGATTTTTCGAACAGCTGTGTTTAGAAAAATGCACCATCCACCCACATCTAAACCTCGAAACTCATCCAAGCTTTGCCAAAATGTTCTTCTATCTGCCTTTCATCATCATTGTTAACGCAAATTAGCGTTCCTGGATCGCATAGTGGATTTTTCAAAAAACCTTGGTTTTTCCATTTTAGTCGATTTAGGAGCACTTTTATTCAAAAATACGATCATATTTGAAATCAGCGCACTAAAATGCATCGAATAGTATATAAAATGTCCAATTTTCGAGAAAAAAAGCTTTCGACGAAATTTTGAAGCAAAAGAGAACCCAGGATTCTGGAGCGAAAAAATATTTTTTCGAATTTGTTTGTTTTTGATTGATATGAGTTTCTGGGTGCTCGGAAGTCATTTTTATGCGAAAATACAGAATCCCAACAATAAAAATTACATGTCCACCTGCTCTGTAGAAAATGCACACTATGTCCCTTTAGAAAAAGTTTTCCAACCCGCCCATGCGAATCGAAACCTAAAAACTTATTATTCATTGCTTAAAAAGTTATTTCGTAATAGAACAGTGGCGGATATAGGGTACTGGCGGCCGCCAGTACCGCCAGCACCGAAATTTTTGATTTCATACTATTATACTCTCCTTCTTGTGCAACATAGTAATAAAATAAAAGAAGTAAAAATCGTGTCGTCTAGAAACTCCTAAGCAAAGTTGTTAAACTTGCTCTTTTGTCCAAATTCGCTAGCACCGAAAATTTTTTCTGGATCCGCCACTGTAATAGAACTTATAATTTGATGCTTACCGAAGTTGATTCTGTTCACAGAGATTGAATAATTGTGTATGCATTTATTTCTCTTCTCTTTGATAGAATAACAACCAATAAAATTGTTTGAGTATATTCATCGATTGTTCCAATCAGAATATTTTATTTTTATTTTGATTGGTTCCGGTTCTATTGTTACAATAAAAAAATATTTCAATATATATGTCACGAACATCCGTTTCGATCGATGAACTTCAGTAATGTTTCATTCATTCATATAACCACTTAATTTTTCTTCTATAACTTCTTGTTCTTAACAAATGTTCATCTGTTTGGAACTAAATTAGAAAAAGTAAAGAGAGAGGAAATGAACAAGTGATTTATGAATAGATCTATATACGATACACTTGACTTATCTTTTAGATGTAGAATAGGAGTCCAAATTATTTGTGCACATTTCAATTTAAAATATATAGAGTTAGTTATATAGGAAGTGACATTGAATTAGTTGGATGATTATTGTTAGACAATAAATAGGAAAGAACTAGTAAAATATGTTCTGGTTCTAAAATTGTTTGCTAAGAAAAATATATTCATTTGGGTCTGTAAGGAGCTATTTCATTCAATCACTAAATTTGGATTTTCAACATTTCGATGTTATACAGTTCTTTCAAGGGGGTCTAGAAAATCGATTAATACAAAAGTTTAGTCTAACCATCACAGTGATCCAACGAATAACATAAAAAAATGTTTATATGTTCACGCTGATGTTTAAACGGTATTTTATGCCGATCAAACATGAGCGAGTCCGGGAAGGTATCGAGTCCGAGTCCATTTCCAGTTCGGTAATCTTTTAGATTCTTTTTTGATGAGTGTGGTTTATTTCTCTTTTTTAACTAACTGAGCCCTGGTTAGATATTTGATTTTTAGAAAATAGGGTTACTTCGCATGTCCGTCATCCGAACAAAATTTTCGATTTCTTATGAAACAGAAGGGGTTGTTATTTCGCTTTTCATTTCTCTCTCTTCATTTGTGTTAAAAGTTGAATAGGTCGGACTCGAAATACAAAAACTCAAGTTCGAGTCCGAGTCCTTCAAAAAAATCTCCAGACCGAGTCCAAGTTCGAGTCCGTCAAAAAATCTTCCAGTCCGGACTCGGATTCGCCCATGCCTGATGCCGCTTTGTAGTTTAAAAAACAATCTTGAACATTTTTAAAATGTCCTTAATAAATGTCAGTATTTGTTTCTGAAATTTACTGCTGTAATTGTACTGAACTGTAGATATTATTTAGTTTAGATTTTATTTATCACATGCGTCTCTCATCATCTTTTTCAAAAAAGCAAACCAATTTAATCTATTTATCTTTAGATTTTGTAAATAATCCGCTTCTTGTCTACTCATATATAGTAAAAATATATTGTTTTATCTCTCAGTAACTAACTATTAGACGGCTAGAACAACATAAAAACATTCTTTTTCATTTATGTACCTCATGTTATTCAATTAGACAATAATTGACGTTAAAAAAATCATATTCAGTAAATGAGTGGCTATCTCATTTTCACTACATGCTGTGCAAATGATTTCTATGTCTTAGAAAAATGTTGTTGTTTTTCATGGGTTTGCAAATCACCGTTTCAATCGATATCGTTAAATCATTTTTATTGTCAAACAATTTCTCGACTATATCCTTCGAAATTTGTTGTACTATAAAGTTATAAAATGTCGACATCTTTAAAGTCAGAGGATTTGACAATAAAACAATGTTGGACAATGGGTTAAATTGATATGAAGTATACAAAAATTAAACGTTACTTGACAAAATAAAACAGCGGCAATCAAAGCACACATTATATTCACATGATTGTTAAAAGCTCTTAATTATTTGTTTTTTCCGGTCAAATTATTCAATTATGTAATAATTGACTGTTTTTAGATACAGAGTTCGAATTATTTTATCAAAAAGTCTATATGAGTAGATATCAAAATTCTTCAGATATAAATGAACAAGAAAATGATAAGACATTTAAATTATCATTTGAAAATAAAAAACATGATCTCAAGTACAAAGATCGACAGAAGTAAATTGCTTACCACTCGATTCATGGACAAGTTTATTCAAAGTAATTCATGTTTAGTGAGATCACTGATAATTGTATGACAATACTCAACGGATCTGCGCGAAGAAAAAATACAAAACAACTATCAGACAGACATGGGTATTTCTAAAATACAAAAACACCCACTAATAGTCACTGGCAGTCCAGAATTAGTATCTGATACAGCGGACAGGTAGTAGTTCGTCGAATCGAGCATACTAACATTGAACAATATCCCGATGGATCACTGAATAATGGCTACTAACAATCGAAACCTTATCGATAACATCCACTAATAGCCATTAACGCTCAAAAATGACACAAGCTAACAACTACTCGACTCTTAATGTAGGATAACGTTTGTATTGACTAAATTATGATGTCATTCTGGGTAGAGGTCTGCGGGATCAAACATTTTTGGTCCTGGTCCCGTCCCAGTCTCATGAAAAGAAACAACTTTGGTCCCGGTCCCGTGGTCCCGTAAATATTTTTTCAAAGTAACGCAGATAGTTTGAAAGTCAGCGGGTTGTAATGCGGGGCGCGGGACAGCATGCGTGGGTGGTATTAATTGAAAAATTTTAGAATTTTATGTGAGTTTTTTCTCGCAGAACTAGTGCCTAAATACAAACAGGCACCGAAGCTAGGAAATTTTTATACTCTATACAAGGATATTTTCAAAAAAATCTGGTCTCGATCCCATTAAAAGCCGCGTGGGACCGGGACCGTCCCGGTTCCGTAAAACGTTCCGCGGGATCGGGACCATCTCACAGACCTCTAATTCTGGGTGTTAGCGCATGCTACAAATACCCATCAGACATGCATAGCTACTTTTTTGCGGGCACTCGTCCGCTGAAAACAACTTTCTTATTTTCATGTTCACTTTTATCCACGACATTTTTCTTTTATAGACCGGCACCACATTTTTTACTATTATACTCTCACTATAATAAACCAATACGACTAAAAAATACAAAAAAAAACGGTTGATAGATTAGAAAAAAATAGATTAGAAATAAAAACACTGTTTTCTTTGTTTTAAGGAAAAAAATATATCACCCTAGTAACAAGATAAGTATGAATGCATAAAAAGTGCTAAAATGGAATGTGTTATTGATTAATCAGTTGATTTCAGAAAGTCGTTGTTCTTGTTCTTCAATAATTCTTATCAATTCATTTGGTAAATCCTCTCCCAACTGCCCAACTAACCATTTTTTCGTCTCTTGAATATCTGCCAACCAATAATCTTTTGAGACGCCCATCAACTCATCCCAGTCGATTTCTTTTAAACCATCTACATTTATACTACCTAAAATGGAAATAGAATACATTGTCCTCAATATTCTTAACTATTCTAGAAAGAGAAGTTTTAGATAAACAATCCTGATTGTGAAATTTTACATATTCATTTCTATTTCGAGCACTTTTCGAGCATAATATTCACGGTCTATTTTACCTTTTTTAGGTAATAAGCCAACAGGTGTTTTTACAGCAATATCTTCATCATTTATACGACGTAGAATCCAATCGAGTACTCGAATATTATCACCTAGAAAAAGTGTTAAATTTGTTTTTTTTCTCTCGAAGAAAATAGCAGCTTCTTCTACCGTATCCAGGCCATAAGAATTTCTTATTTTTATCTAGACGAAACCAATTGACATGGAATATTTTTGGTAACTAAAGAGATAAAAACATAAAAAAATGAATATTGCTAATTCTCAGCAAAGAAA